TTCTTCCATACTTGTTGTGTCCGTTTCCTTTTCCAAATGGACAAGTCGAATTCGGGTCGCCAAAAGATCCCGATCCGAAAAATACCCAAGAAGAACCATTTACAGGTCACCTTCTCCAAACGCCGCGCCGGACTCTTCAAGAAGGCCAGCGAGCTCTGCACCCTCTGCGGGATCGAAATCGCCGTCATCGTCTTCTCCCCGGCCGGCAAGGCGTACTCGTTCGGACATCCCGACGTGGGCTCGGTCATCGGCAGGTTCCTGGCCCATCAGGACCCGATTCCGGCCGGCGGAGGCGCTCATCGCCGTCAGAGCGCCGTCGTTAAGGCCGGTGGTGGTGGTGGTGGGCTGAAGAACGCGCAGCTGGCCCAGATTCTGACTCAGCTGGAGGCCGAAAGGGACCACGTGGAGATGGTGGGCCAGGTGATGAAGGCCCAAGAGAGCTGGCTGACTAGATGTCCAGTAGACGAACTTGGGCTTGATGGGCTTGTGCGGTTGAGAAGCGAGCTGGAAGGGCTGAAGTTGAATGTTGCGAAGCAGCAGCGGATTGCGCTGATGGAAGCTGCCGCTGCGGCGAGTTATCATTCTTCGTCCCAGTTTCTCGAGGTGATGAACTTTTCTTCTTCGACGGGTGGCTGCAAGTTTTGATCCGAAAACCTCAACGGAATGTGGTGAATAAGGATGCGCTCCTCTGCTTCGAAAAACTACGATCGATATCAATATCGTAACGATAATGTTATTGACGACGTGCAAAATTGAAACACACAAAAAAAATAGCGATATTGTAACTCACAATTTCATTAATCGGCAAAAGAATTCCAAGTCGTAACAAGCTCCCGTCTTTGGCTTTTTCCCGGCTAGATCTTGTGTGAGTTGCTAAATCAACAAAACATTACATATGATATTTGAATCGAAGCAAACTAAAGTAAGTAGCAATTTCATTAATCGCAAAAAACAAAAACAAAAAAAATCAGGCCGTAAGAAGCTCCCTGGCGTCGACTTTTCCCCCGCTTAATGTTGTTTGAGTTGCTAAATCAAGAACACATTACATATTTGAATCGAAGTAAACTAAATTGGTAAGACATCTGGTTTACTCCGATTGTCAAATCCATGCATTTTGGTCAAGACATGTATTATATACGTATTTAATGAATTGGATGTATTATGAATTGCAATGTTTGGAATATGTAATGATGTTTTCAACAATTAACAAGAGAAATGAACAACTAACAAGAGAAATCAATTTTTAACAGAAATGTCAATTGTATTGTTCTTTTCATTACAAAAAGTACTTTCTACAATATAGAAACTACAAAAATAACAATAACTATTAAGCCATACCGACAGTTTCAGCTAAAATTTAGATTGTATAATTATTTCATTTTAATTGTTTGTCACATCCATCAATCAAACAACCTTTGTATTTTTTGTGTACAAAAAAAAAAACAATATAATAAAAACATTGCAAGCATGGTAACAATCTAGCTAGAACAATACTAAAAACCAAACCACCGATAAATTCCACCGGTTGGGTCTAGTGGACTGCATTTTTAGTTAGCTTAAAGAACCCTCTCACTCTCACAGACACAGTTAGCCCTATCAATGAGATATATGGAAGCTCAAATTAATTGATTTCTGAACAAACGATAACACGATTGCAGTAAGGAATTCCACTTGGTTCGGGTCCCAACTTCAGGAAAGCTTAATCAAATGGTTTGCTGCATGAACTGCAGAGCATTATATAGGGGAAAGAATACATTTATATATACTAGACTAGACTAGAGAATCGGTCACAAAATTTAGCCCTGACGAGCCTCTCTACTGAAATTACACACAGTATTTACAATGCACCTTAGTACGAGAATGTTCAGTTTCCGTTCAGTTTCCCCTGGCGTTCAACTCGCATCACATGATAAGATTACAATCTCCCCCTGTGAACCTGCCACACATCAGGAGCGCACATATCTTAAGAACTTTCCTTCACTCGAGACTTTAAGTTTGGCAGACAATGAAACAGAGACGAAAACTGAGATTGAAAGGCAATCATAGACTGAAAAATATATGTCTGGCTTACATTTCTCAAATATCTGATTGGCAAGTTGCAGTATTGATTCTGTGTCTTCAGCAATTTTCAAAATCCTTTCCACTTCCTTCACAGCTTCAGCAGCAACGAAGGATTTGTTCTCTGCTTCGGCGATTCTGTAGGCAGCAGACACTGCTGCTTCTTCCACTGTATCATCTGAGGTAACCGAATCAGTGCTCTGCAACTGTTTAGGTTGAGCTTCCTTCTTCGGAGAAGGTGCTTTTGTAACAGGAGCTGTAGCTGGGTTACTTGCCTTAAACCTATAGGAATTTTGAATCTGCACATGCAGCATAATGCATCAACAAGGACCAACCACCATCTTCAGTAGAATTTATATCACATATATAGCTTCTCATATGACTTTTACTGATAACGATGAGCTTGACGACTTTTATATGCAGTCTTTTGCTAAAGGGGTGCAGTATTTCATAAAAATGATAGTTAAGAAACATAAATGGGTAATCAACAGCTAGAAATATTTGCCAATGGTTGACAGTAATAAGATCTCCCATTCCTGAATCAAGTTACGATTTGACGAAAATTTTCTTTTCTTACTTTTTATTTTCTGACAGGGCAAAGGTTGTGATCGTACGAGTGTTGCTTTGCTTATCATCAAAGTATGTATATATTATTAGCATTGGGATTACTTGATAGTACCTGAATGCCCTGTTCTACTTATCATTCGATCATTCTTCTTACTGATAAAAAGGAAGAAAAGAGTACCGAGAAGTAAAACAGTAACTGGTTGGAACCTAGATCTGGATATCAGTTTCTTTATCTAAATATATAGACAAAAGAAGAATGAAGCAGAACACTTTAGTTCCGTATTCAAAGGTTACAAATGCACAGTTACAAAATTTTGAGAAAGGCATCAACAAACAAGTGACCTTTAAAATTAGAACTACTAACCTTTTCAAGTTTTTCCTTTTGAACCAAGCGCCTCAACCTAGAAGTTACTTGCTTCCTACCATTTTGTGGTAACTCTTGCCTTTGCTGCATATATCAAAAACCAAACCACATGAGATGTGTTTTTGACTCACAAAGCAAGAGAAAAGGTCCACCAGAACAAATGTATAAGCTGCATGATATGGGCTCATGTACTCTTTTTATCAACAGTTGGGAGGGTAGGTAGTATTCTTATGGTGAGACCACCTGAAACTTTCAGCAAAAATAATAACATGGTGACTGGGATTACCACCATACCTCGATGAAGCTAATAATTGCACTGATATCAACAACATTCGTCTCAACTCGAGTCAAGGCCGTAATTGCTTCAAATATCATTGGATCATACCTGTAAAAAATTTAAATGAATTCCATCAGAGCTTACATGTTTCAAATGAAAAGAACGAGTATTTTTTTAACCAAATGCAGTAACAAAATTTAAGTGGATGCAGAACTGCCTTGCCGCTAACGATACATCGAGTTCACCCGAGATTGAGCTCATAATTATCCTATATGTTAGAACCAAAAGATCTTAATTCCATTCATACACCGTCCCTCCATGTTCTGTCATCTCAACCCTCAACTGAATTAATAATCAACATTTTACCCTAAAGATTCCAACATATCCTCCAAGAGGTACAACTCAAACAAGCCTTTACATTTCAGGGAATTAGAGTGCTTGAAAGTGAAAAGTAAAACTGCAGGCCTTTCTAAACAGGCTTTGAGAAATCAAATAACATTCTAGGAGACAAAAATTAGCAGAAGAAACTGACAGCCAAGAATCCAAAACACGGTTGGTTGCATAGAGGGGAAACTCAGATAATGAAAGCAGCATTGCACTCAAGTAGTAAGCCAAACAAATTCCAATTCAGGGAGACCCATGTTCAGAGATTGATCTAGATAGCAACGAATGAATGCCTCCCTTCAGGAAGTGTGTTAGGTAAGTCATTATCCAAGAAACTACACAACCGAATGGGAGCAGCGGGCAAGGTGAAACGAAGATAGCCAAACCCAAAAAAAGGACAATGGTAACAGAGCATTACTTGGAGGCAATTTTCACATCAGGTACAATAATTGGTTTGGCAGCTTCCTCCATGGTTACTTCTGCCTTAGGAGGGGCAACAGCAGCAGGAGCAGGAACAAGAGCAGGAACAGGAGCTGGAGCTGGAGCAGCAGCTGGGGCGGGAGCGGGAGCTTGAGCAATGGGCAACGGAGCTGCAGCCACGACAGCATCGGAAGCAGCGACTTTGGGTTTCGGCGTCCGCGATTTCTCGCCGGAGCCGACGCTCATATTCCGCCATTTATCCTGCGAAAAAAAAAGTCAAAAACAGAGAAACAAACAAATTGTTGACGGGGAGACGTATCGGTTTTCCAAAACGCCATGAATGGACGGCAACGAAGGGGAGCAGAAGAGAGAGAGACCTTGAGATCGATGTTGGAGCGAGTGGAGAGGTGGGGGTTGAACTCCGGGTCTTGCTGAATGTTCTTCCACTTACCTGTGCCGTGTTTGGCTATCCCAGCTCGCAGAGCCTCTTCTTCCTCCGCCGTCCACTTCTGCTTCGGATTCCCCATCTCTCTCGCCCTAGTTCTCTTTCTCCTCCCAAACAACGCCGGCCGCTAAATTCCTTTGAGCTAAACCTGAGATGGTCTGTTCATGGCGGGGGGCTGCCGCCTCCGCCAAGCCAGCAAAATCAAAAGCCCTAATCGCGAGAAACAAGCGACGGCATCGTTTGCGCCTAACTTACCAAACGCTGTCGTTTATCCAACTTTTACTGTTTCTTAGCCCATGGAGCAGTAGACAAATTGAGTCGTTTGTGGCCCAATCCAGCACCGTGCCGCACGGTCCGTGCCTTCTGGGCCTCTCTGGCATTGTACTTGTGTTGGGCTGCCAAAAAACACGACGCCTCAACAGTGCCAATAGGACATGGCCACGTGACAGAATAGGAGACGACTCGTTTGACACGTCAGCAGAAAGCAAAGACACAGGAGAACCACGTCCTTCTCTCCCCCTTCCCTATCCAATCCGCTCTTCTCTTCCCCACTGGTTTTCCTGTGAAGTGAGAAGCTCTGCTGCTCTCCCACTCTCGAAGCGTGAAAATCCGAGCCGGTAAAACGCACAAGGCGTGAGCGAGAGAGAGAGAGAGAGAAAAACCTCATCACCAGCAGAATCACGGCAATGTCGTGAAAGCTGAGGAACGCCGTTACGGATTCCTCTTTTCTTTTTCTTTTTCTTTTTTTTTTATTCCTCGAGGGAACGAGAGAGAGCGTAGGGAAGAAGCAGGTCGAGAATGGAGTGTATCGGGGCGCGGAACATGGCGATCACGGCGGTGTTCTCTTTCCCCACGGCAACGTCGAGCCGGAGATTGCAGCTGAGTTATCGCCCTCCGCCTCTTCATTTTCCTCCCGCCGCCGCCGCCGCGGATGAGAAGCGGAAGAAAATGTGCTGCAAGGAGCTGAGAATTGCGAGCGGCGGCGCAGGGAGCGATAGTTGTGTGGCAGTTATTGATGATTTCGCCGACGAGGAGGATTTCGTCAAGGCCGGCGGCTCCGAGCTGTATTTCGTCCAAATGCAGCGGAAGAAAGACATGGATAAACAGTCCAAACTTGCTGATAAGGTCAGCAGTCTGTCCCCCACTGGTTTCGCGTTCTTCTTGCTTCTCTATTTACTGCGTTGCCGCCGATTCCGTAGCGTGTATGCTTATTAGGAACGCAATGTCTGCGGCTGAGAAGCCGCTCTGCTTCTTGGTCTATATATGCCGCCGGAAATACAAAGTTTAGCTGGCGCCCGCGCTCGTTACGCTGTTTGGGAACTATGAGACGGAAATCGGAGAAAACATTTGTCCGGCCATTGCTTCAATCTCCCGTCAAGGCTGCTTTTCACGAGAACGCATTCATTCAAGCAGCCTAGTTTAGCCATTAGGGTTCTGTTTCCTGTTATCCTGGGGCTGGAGACTCAGGAGCTCCTGTACCTGTTTGCCGCAAGCCGTTTGGTTCAACCTAGTTATTTTCTGTTCATTAGAGTGTCTATATGCAATATTTGCAGACTACATTTCCTCGTGGTTAGAAGGAGTCCTCTGCTCATTTTAGTGTTGCGATGAACAGAGCATAATCTTCCTTGCGGTTTTCACTTGGTTGCAGTTACCGCCTATAGCAACCAGAGGCGAAGTACTGGATTTGGTGGTGATTGGTTGTGGTCCAGCTGGGCTGGCACTAGCGGCAGAATCGGCCAAGTTGGGATTGAATGTCGGGCTAATTGGACCTGATCTTCCTTTTACTAACAATTACGGCGTTTGGGAGGATGAATTTAAAGGTAATAGCTAATACCCTTTTGATCCACTTCTAAGAATTTGATCAGTTAGCCCTTAACTGCCGTTGAACTTACTATCTTTGCTCATTCCAATGCTCACTGTAGATTTTACTCCACTTTCTTGATTCTCTGTTCCATACTCTGCATATTATATCTGAGTTCACCACATGGACAACTTGTTTCCAGATCTTGGTCTTGCTGGGTGCATTGAGCACGTCTGGAGGGACACTATTGTATATCTTGATGATGGAGATCCCATTATGGTTGGCCGCGCCTATGGACGAGTTAATAGAGACTTGCTTCATGAAGAATTGTTAAGAAGGTAAGAGATCTGTGACAATGTTCTTTGTGTTGTATAACGATGATCTCGTCCCATATTTAGCTTGTCAGATATTAGAATTTTGTGGATATATGATGTATAATGATTTTCTCTAGGTGTGTCGAGTCAGGTGTTTCATATCTTAACTCAAAAGTGGAAAGTATAGTTGAAGCAACTGAGGGGCACAGTGTTGTAGTCTGTGAGCATAATGTTCTTGTTCCGTGCAGGTAGACTTTGTCCCTTCGTTTAATGTCTGTACAAAGTAAGCTTATTATGGTATCAGTTTATTCCGCTACAAGTTCCTAACATATTGTTATAGACTTGCCTCTGTTGCATCAGGTGCAGCTTCAGGAAAACTCTTGGAGTACGAGGTAGGAGGCCCGAGGGTCTCTGTTCAAACTGCATATGGCGTGGAAGTTGAGGTATGCTACATGCAGCGCTAAGATTTTAAATCATTTTACCCGATTATACTCGCTTTACTTCTTTCGAATTCGCTTGTCTAGGACTAGGAGCTCGCTATATACCTTGTGACACTGTTTTGAAAGAGTGAACATTATTATGTCTCAGAGATGCAATAGTCGTGCCTTTCATCATCAACTTCTTTCTTACGATTCCAGGTGGAAAACAATCCATATGATCCCAGTCTGATGGTTTTCATGGATTACAGAGACTACACTAAGCAAGATCCTTCATCACTGGAAGCTCAATACCCAACATTCCTGTACGTGATGCCCATGACCTCCACGAGAGTCTTCTTTGAGGTTTGTTAGACTCTGATTTGTATGGTTATCGTAACTGCAACTTTAACCAGAATGTTCGTAACATTTATGGGCACTTCTTTGCAGGAAACATGTTTAGCATCAAAAGATGCCATGCCGTTTGACTTGCTAAAAAGAAAGCTCATGTCGAGACTAGAGACCATGGGAATCCGAATTTTGAGAACTTACGAAGAGGTATTTGTCAACTAACTACATCCTCCTCTAGACTGTTTGTTTGCTTTAGTTTCTTTTAACTTTTATCAGTTTATGGTGGGTTGTATATTGTCGCGAGTACCATATCATCATACATAACACAGAAGCCTTCCACTGCGCTCAATGTTTCTTGGAGCCTGTTCATTCGTGCTATCTATTTCTCCAGTGTGTAAATTTTAGAGAATAGGCAAAAATTTCAAGTTTCTTGGCTTCATTTAGGTGCCATACTCTTGTTATTTCTCTGTGCAGGAATGGTCGTATATTCCAGTTGGCGGTTCCTTACCAAACACGGAGCAAAAGAACCTTGCATTTGGTGCTGCTGCTAGCATGGTACATCCAGCAACAGGTGAGAACAGAGCTAAGTCGTGTCCTCTGTGTTGAACCGAGTTTCATTTCCAGGACATTACTCATTTATCTCTGCTCTCTTTTCTCTGCAAACAGGCTATTCAGTAGTGAGATCATTGTCAGAGGCACCCAGCTATGCTTCAGTCATTTCAAACATACTAAAGCAGGACCAGTATAATGGCAACCTTGGTCTGAGAAGAAGTAATGCAAACATCTCGATGCAAGGTAATTTGCACGAAATACGTGCTCGTATACAGGCTCGATTCAGTTTGTGAAGTTCATTTCTAAATGACTGGAAACTTCCTTTTCTCAGCTTGGGATTCTCTGTGGCCTTTGGAAAGGAAACGTCAAAGGGCATTCTTCCTCTTCGGATTAGCGCTTATATTGCAGCTGGACATTGAAGGCATCAGGACCTTCTTTCGTGCTTTCTTTCGCGTGCCTAGATGGTACATTTTTTTATATATAATTTGGTTCATTTCGGAATCACAGATCAGTTTGGCTTTGTTTTCGGAGTGACATTGTCTTTGTTCAATTTGTGCAGGATGTGGCAGGGATTTCTTGGTTCGAATCTATCGTCAGTGGATCTCATGCTGTTCTCCTTTTATATGTTTGTTATTGCACCAAACGAAATGAGGATGTCCCTTGTCAGGCATCTGCTCTCCGATCCAACTGGAGCGATCATGATAAGAACATATCTCAACATATAAGCTCTCTCTCTCGCTCTCTCTCTCTCTCTCTCTCTCTCTCTCTCTCTCTCTAGCTGATGTTTACACTTCTCCTGCTCTTGCGTTTCTTCTGGTTCCCCCCACCCTCTCTAGAGCTATATCTTATGTAGAGATTTCAAGTTTGTATAGTTAATAGGACTGACTATGTGGTGGCACCCAGCCAAAATGATGTTTCAGTTTTATAACTGAAGACTGAATTAATGTGAATATATAATGTCGTAAGTTTGTCATTGTAACATGAGAAAATGTTTTTTTTCTTCTTTTTCTTCTGTGGGATGAGAATTGTAACGTTTCAATTTAACATTTTCCGATCAAAATATTATTCATTATGCGTCACACAATTTCACTTTTGGGTGTATCATGGTAACTTTTTATATGTCACTCATAATAAAGCAATGAAAAAGCTATGCTAACATTGCTAGTTATTTATTTTTACTGTCAAGATGAACGCTCCAGGCCCATCTCTTCTCCAAGCATTGCTAGTTATTTATTTTTACTGTCAAGATGAACGCTCCAGGCCCATCTCTTCTCCAAGTCGTGTCTAGTGGACTTTGGCGTTCATTTTGACAAGGTTGCATAACTTAAGAGACACATGAGCAGAGGGCATGGAAGAGTACACACTTTTACATGCATATTAGTAGGCGCATGACACCTTTCTTTTGACATTGTTAGCTCGACATTTGGGGCCTTTCGAATACTCTGTGAGCGTGCCAAATGATTGGCTGTCAAAATCGGGCAGCTCCATTAGTATGATATTGTCCGCTTTGGTCAAACCCGCACGGTTTTACTTTTGGGTATCCTCCCCAAAAGGCCTAGTACTAATTGGGCTAGGTGTACACTAATATATAAGGGCCCATACCCTTGTATTACCGATGTGGTACTTGGATTGTCCCACAATAATCATCCCCTCAAGACAAGGACCACAAACTTCGTATCCTCTCCTTAGCGATTATCTTGATCTACCAGACACCTTGTATCAATGAGTTTCTCGGTACAAGGATATTCCCAGACGCAGAACTCTTTTTGATCTGCCAAGACTTGGATCTCTAATGGATCCACCAAACATACGCAAATCTCTCATGGATCTGTCAAACAGACAAGGATCTCTCCTGGATCCACCAAACAGAATCAAATCTCAAATCCTGAGGTCACCCAATGAAGGTCCCACCAAAGTGGTGTTCACCGCCTTGACCCGAACCAAACTCTAATACCACTTGTCGAACCGGATGGCTCCATTAGTACGATATTGTTCTCCCCAAAAGGTCGCATACTAATGAGCTTGGTGAACACTTATATACAATGGTTCATTCCCTTGTATTTACGATGTGGTACTTGTATTGTCGCATAACATTGTCCATTATGTCTCCTCACACCTTTGGTGCCTAGTACCTGTTGGCATACATCTGACATCTACTGTCAAGTGCCTGGCACCTCCCTCTCAAGTTGTTAGCCTTCTGACACCTCTCTTCTAAAATGTGAGGTGTCTGGTACCTCCCTTTCAAGCTATTGGAGCTCGACACCTTCATTTTGTATTTTTCCCTACTTTAGCAACTTACTTTTTTGCATCCTCCTCCTCCGAGGCCCCCACAAGGGCGGGCGTTAAAATAGTATGTGCCATCAATAATGTTTTGAGATGAGCATAAACTACTTGAAATCTTTCAATTACGCTTCATAAACGTGAGCTCAATCCTTCACAAAAAAACTATCCAATATTTCTTTAAAAGCAACTGATTTTTAAAAATGACACTCCAATAATCAACATCTCCATCAAACTTAGGAGTGCACACTTGTGAATAGCTTGAACCACTCATGATCACTACTCACTCACAAACATATATTATTTCACTACCTCTTATGTTTCGTACACGGATGACAAACCACCTCACCAAGTTTTCTTATTACTCATAAGTCATAACCCAATTTGAAACTCACAAACTCAAACACTCAATTGCTATTCTATAAACTTGATTACAATTTGCAATAGGCTTTGATACCACATGTTCAAACATGTTGGCAAAACTAACAGTTCATTGATTTTGACAGGAAAAATGTTAACAACATTATTCATCTACCAATTACGAGCTAAAACTAGCTTCCACTCACATAAGGACGTCCTTAAAACCAGTTGCCCACTAACGTAGTCGCTAACAAGTTTTGGCTGAGCAACACAACTCTACCTACCAAGAACTAAAATTGATCTAAATGACCCTTCTCAATAAAACAACATTGTCCCTACTTAACCCGCACTAGTAACTACACTGACTACAAACGAAATTGTCCCCTCCTTAAAACACAATACTAACTTATTAATTGACTCACTAAATTTATTCTAACACTATATTGCTCCTTTTTTGCCTTATACCATATTGAATGGGAGCAATTGCACACTTTAAATAAAAAATACAATGGAGGAAACGTTGGGAGATTCTCTAAAATATGCCTCCATATGTGTTGTTTTTTTAAACTCATCAAGGTGGTTACTTCTAGAAAAAAGTCACAATGATCTAGCATAGGTAAGAAACACATACTTTCCTCCTTATCCACAAGTAAGTACTTATTTCAATACACATGCCACATTTCATTTTTTCCTAAGCCTATTTGTCATCCATGTTTTCTCATAGACTAGGTATTACAATAATGATGGACATAATTCAATATAGGAATTTATATGTGCTTTAACATGTGAAATCGACAACCAAAAATTCAGTAAATTGTTATGCATAGCTATGTTATAGTAAGCTGCAACGCATAATTACGTTGTAAGGTTTAATTTTATCATTTAATATTCTGGCATACGTAAGAATTAGAAACATGAAACCCACAACAAATGTATGTTATATAACATACATAATAAGGGATTATGGATACAACTTATAGATCAATCTAAATAAAAACATACATGACAAACAACATATATGTCTTATGTATTACTAATATTCAATTTATATGATGAACTTTAAAATGGATTAATGAATTGAGCAAGTATTTAATGTTTGCATGGGAATTCCATTGAGAATCGAGACTTCATCCATGATCCATATGAGGCCTTCTGGTTCTACTCAGACGTGCTCTCATATATTTGGATCAACTCCTTGTAATTGGATAACCCATAAACCCAATGAATTGGTAAACTGTGATATAAGAGAAACAAATCATTCAACAAATAGATGCCTTGTGGCACCAGACTCGAGGAATTTGGAGTAGTCTTCGAAAGGGCGAAGAAACAAACTTATTCGATGTGAAGTACAAAGATGGAGTGTCGAGAATTTCAACCTTTAGTATAAATAATGACTAAAGACATTTGTTTAGAAATTTGACAGTCTATGAGAAATTAAGGTTATCTGATGAAGGTTTGCAATATGTGAGCGAGTATATAGTTCTAGTTTGACTCTATTGTAGTTCTTACAAAATATAACTTATGTTTGTAGCCTTTAGAAAATTACTTTCCAAAAAAGTTGTTGAGTGTTTGACTCATTATACATATTTTTTAATGATGGGTCATGTAAAATTATTAAAAATAATTTCTAATAAAAAATATGAATAAAAAATAAAAAGATAGTCAAAATGGATCTTGTTTGATTTCTTTTATATCAAATAATATTATTTATAGTTTATTTTAGTTTTAAAATTATATAAATGAAAGAAAAGTATGTTTTTTGAAAAAAATAAAAAAAATTATCCTTGTAATCATGTATTTTCAATATAGATTTTCGCATAAGCTCTAACAGAAGCTTGTATTTATATAGAATTTCATAACTTAAACAACTCAGTTGAGAGCTCCGTACATTTCATCTTTTTCAAAAGTCGAATTTGTAGTTTGTAGAAGTGTTTGATCGACTTCACTTTTTAATACAAAAACCGCAGCAGAGATGGACATAATGTTGTTCAGTTGCCTTGAACGAAGACATTAAGTTATTCATAAAATATGGTATCCTTGTAAATAAAATGGAAAAAATTAAAGAAAAAACTATCACTTCCATTCATCTTCGATCCAAACCGGCTAATCCAACTTGATAACCTTTAAAAATAATTTATTGATAAAAATCGCTTTAGTTTTACTATTACTATTCTAACATAAATTATAAAATTATTCTTCATTAATCAAATCAAATTCAATAAAACAAACATCCCCTTAAATCCCTAATCATCCCCCACTTTAAACCACCTCCGATGCGACCTTCTACACATTCTTCATTCACCGGTTGCACATTGTTGGATGAATTGTGTTTGTTAGAGCATCTACATCAATGCAATTGCATATGTGGTTTTATAGCCACCTCATCAAATTTTGCAATCCAGCTCATTTGAATTTCATTGTCCTATATCAATGCAAGTCATTTGCAATTACATATAAAAATATAATTCATTTAAAGTATATTTGAATTTATTTAAACGATAAAAAAAAATTGGATCTGACCTACCATCGCTCCACGTTGGCATATCAAATGGGCAAATAGAGCCGATGGAGATGCTCTTAGAATAAATTATCTCATAATAACAAAAAAATAAAAAAATATTATCAACTCTTAAACTAGTAAACACCAAAAATGGGCACAATCCAACAAAAATAGGATAATACTATCTTCCCCGTGGAATATCGAAGATGGCGGTGAAGGACGCCATAAAAGCGGTTGCGGCAAGGTTTGGAGCGGCAGTCATCTACTTCCGCGTATAAGTCGTGTCCGCGGGAAGACTCGCCGGTGTTATCAATAAGGAGAGGGAGCAGGTACTAGTATCAAGAAGGAGAAGGTGGCGGCGGCCGCCCGATGAGAACGAGAAAGAGCGTTCCAAGAAATTGCCATCCCAGACGCAGCTCCATTTACAGAGGCGTCACCAAGCACCGGTGGACTGTGCGATACGAACCCCAATTTTGGGATTGCACTCATTCTTGTCACCGTGTCCTTCAGCAGTTTGCTGCCCAACGCCATCGTGCGTCACTGATCCTGGCTTTCCTTCACCCATCAAATCCTTTTTTCGGAGGATTCTACCTATTTTTTGCAGGGTGTCAAAGGAGTTGCGGCTGAGGTACCGGAAACGGCGAGTCTTTCCGACGGCCACTTTTGGGCGACCGCAATATGAGAGACGGTTTCATTCTTGTGCAGTTACAACTCTCATTCACGGGCAGTTACGTTTTCCATTCTCCAAGCATTTTTTTTCTATTTCTTTATTTTAATTTTAACCAACCCTATTCGGAAAATTTATAATTTTTTTTCCTTTACTTTAATTGGTTTTGCATTCTTGATGTATTTATTTTGTTTTCACGCAAACTTTGCTTTCGCTTTGATTTTTTCCCCCCTTCTTCACGTAACTTTGTGCAATTTAATTGTGTTTTGATGTTTATTAGTTCTTTATTAGTCTTCCTCATGATCATGCTTTTACTTCTTTCTATCTCTGCTTCCCATTAAACCAATTGCCCACTATTATTGCTTTCTTTGTGATGATTTGATTGGATCAGCTTGCCTTTCTAAGTCTAGCTCTGTGTGGTGAGAGATAAGTTCCACTTTTTTAGCGTTATTCTTTTTATTGTTTGATCTTATCTGTTATTGGTGCTTGAAATTTATTCGTAGATTTTTCGGTTACTTTTTTTTTCCTGATCTCTTTGCTCTTGTTGTGAGTAACCTTTACTTGGCAAAGATCGCACTGTTTATTTGGCATGTACATAAGCTCTACTGGTGTGCTATTGGGACTCGGACTATTGGAGACGTGAAGTATGTATTTGAAGAATTGGTGCTTCAAGAAGTTTGTCGCTTGAAGACTTCCTTTACGTTTATTCGTTTATATATGCTTCTAGTCATACTAATAGGGCTGCCCTTTGCGTGGCGTAAACGGCTCTTGCATCAGAAGCTAAACACTAGGTTGACTTCCGCTTGTTCTTTTCATCGAATTGTAATTCCCCTATCTATTAACGATCTATCTATGACAAAAAAAAACTAGTAAACACCAAATTACTTAATCAATCCATTCACCCAACCTACTAAACGGGTGAGTCAAAGCTCTTATGTAGATAGAGGGATGGGTTGCGTTGCTAACCCCTCAAGGGATTAGCACCATCCTAACATGTGTAATAGTCGTTAGATTAAGATGTTGATCCTAAGGTTAGAATTGAGTGAAAGATATTTTAGTAATGTTTTATCAAAACCTAATATAAAAAGGCTCAATCCACCATCCCTCTCATCCACGACCGCCTTTCCATTTTCCCCTCTTTCTACACCAACTGTCTCTCCTCTCTCCCCTCTTATCCATCTCCGTGTACGGTTCGACGACTGGAAGGAAGGGGCGCTCAAATAGATATGCGATGTAGGCGGGCAGTGACGGGGAAGAAGGGTATCAGGAGATGTCGATAGGGGAGGTAGACGCCGACGATGACGATGAAGGAGTCCACCCATGATTCGTCGGCTCTCTCTATCAATCGTCGATATTGAGGCCACCGCCAAGACCACTGTGAAAGGTAGAAATGTACAGCAGAGGGAATGATGGATTGGTATAACCCTTGAGCTGACACTATTTCTAGACTTTGTGCCTCTCCTCTATGCTCCATATCCAGATTCCCAATCATCTACTCAACCGCTCATAACCCTTTTCGTCGCCTCCCTCCCTGCGCCTCATGTGTTCCTCACTTCCTCCCACCGTCAATGTAGTTTACGGTAGTGATTTTGTATGGTGATTTTAGGTTTACGTTTGATTTGGGAAGATATATGCCCCTGGACGAGAAAGAGAGGAAGGAATGGGAAGTCAAGTATAGATTTTAATTGTAGTGGTTTTTGTTTAGTATTAGGATTTTGTTCATGTATAGTAGCGATTATTCATCTCTTAATAGTGATTTTTTTTACCAGTGTTAGTAGTGATTTAACCATTTGTGGTATCATTTTTCATGTTCGTAGTATGTTTTATAATGTGTGTTAGTGATTCTTATTAAAAATTATTGTTTTCTACAAATTGGGAAAAAAATGCTACTAGTTACATGAAATCACTATGACTCCCAAAAACACTACTATCAGCCTCCGAAAAAATCCGTGCCTATTAATTAAGAAGTCTACAATCACTGTTAATATCCTAAAATCACTATTATCAATCAAACCAATTATTGATTTAAATAGTAATGAATTTGTTAGTAATTTTTCGGTAGAAACTGGCTAATAAATAGAGGAGAGATAAAAATAGATTTAATATTTTTATTTATATATTATTTTTAATTTCGTGAAATACCAAAGATGTCCTTCATTATTAACCACCATCATATTCAACTTAAAATAATGGACGGTTCCATAAAAAAAAATGGACAGTGATTAGAATAGTTAGTACGGTGCTAACTAATATGAAGTTACAAGTTAGTACTCTAACTTCGAGCACTTCTACTATGCTATATAGTATTGGTGCTTTAATGTACAACTTAAAGCTGTACCATAACATTAAATGTATAATTTTATGTTGTACCATAAAGCAATCTGTACCATAATCATAATGTTATGGTACAACTTTATAACTTGAAGTTGTACCATCACATAAAGGTACAAGTTCAAGTTGTATCATAAAAGAATTTGTACAAAAAGTATAGGTACAATCTGAAGTTGTACCATAACGTAAATGTACAATTTTAAGTTGTACCATAAAGCAAAACTCTATAGCACCAATACTATATGGCATTGTAAAATTTCTAGTATAACTTCACCCGTAAATAGATCGGATAGTGTCGCCGTCAAGGAAGCTGGACGGTTATTACAGGCGCGTTTTTTTTTTCTCCCGCGCCCTAAATTCATAGAAAGTGACCGTTTGGGAAATCGTCAATAAAAAGGAAGGAAGCGCGGGGATTTCATCAACTGCCGCCTCTTTTCTTTTTCCTTCGCGTCTTCCTTCCCGTTAATTTCCCTTTTCGCTCAGCCCCTCTCAGTTCTCTCGTCGGAAGCATGCCATCGTCGAACTCCGACAACGGCTCCCTGCTCGAGACTCCCGGGCCGGGGAATCTGAACCACACACCGGAAGCTGATCACCGGTCGCCTTCTTCTCCTCCTTTTTTTCACGATCGTCACGGTTCGCCTTCAACCTCCTCGCTCCAGGTAAGCCCCCGTTTCCCTCGCTTTTTCTTTCCTCCGAATTTCGGCTGGTTTTGAGATTCTCCGTCTCCGATTTACGAACTCTGAGAACGCGATGCCGAAATGGGTCGGGGGACATTGCGGAAACCCTAACTAATTTCTTACGAAGAAACCCTAAATTTAGTTTACTGGTTCGCCCGATTTATTGGGGCTGGGAGCTTAATTTGTTTGTCTTGACGGTGTTTTTTTTCTTTTTCGTTTGGGTTTGGCAGGGGGAGTTCTTCTTGACACATGATGCTAAAAGGAGAAGGAGAGAACTGGTGCTAGGAGGTGTTGGGGGAACCAGGAGAAAGCTTAAATTCTCGGACTCCCCTGCATCACTACCGCAACAACCAGCTGCTGTCGAAATCGGCCGCTTCTCTGATGATTCCAGTGATCAGCTTGGCAAAGTGACCCAAATGCTGCATGATGATACTTCTGCAAATCAACCATTTCCAGGGTCAGGGTGCTTATTGCCAAGGGGGAAGAGATTTATCGACTGGATTAGGAAAGTTGATAAATTTATCACCGAGGAACTTCGGAGGGCGAAGCACACCCGTAGCCTGAACAAGAAGCTGGCAAAAAGGGAGAGAATGATTAAGATTCTCATGTCAATGCGATGACTAGCTGATTAAAAATGTAGCTAACGGTGTGGTTGTGTGATTGAGGCAGGCGGGCAGTATGCCGTATACTAAAGGGAAGGGAAGTATATATATATACATGCTTAATTACTCCTACTACTGCTGCTGCTGTTACTCCTTGCTTGTTTGTTTTCCTTAAACATGTGCTTGCCTCTTTAGGTGCATGCTTGTGCACCTCTAAAGTCTCAACCCAGGTCTTCTAAAAGCATAGCTGCTAGTCAGCCTGGTACATGACTGAAGGGAAGAACAGATCTACTCTTTGATTTCTTTGGTTCACTTAGCTAGTTTACCTATCTATGATCTAAAAAATGAAACTAGAGAAGTGTTCTAGGGTTTTCAGGACAAGTATTTGTTAACTTTGTTGCTCCTGTCATGATTTTACAGCTGCCAGACTGTGGAGTGGATTCTCTTCTGCACATGCATGGTCGTGGCAAGGAATGATGAAGGGCGCACCTGTTGGCAACGAATGATGTTCGTTTCAATCAGCACATTGATCGCAGAGGAAGAGTTTTTGCTCTGTTAGTTCTCACGTTGGAAGCAGTAATGCCATGAGGCTTGTTTTGTTTATTGTTATATCAACTTGAGTCTCTGGTTTATCCCTTTCAAAAAAAATAAGTCTCTGGTTTATTAGATGTAATGTTCAGTTCAGTGGCTTACCTCATTCCTAGAACCAGGCCAAGCACTTCGATTTGTAGTTTGGTTATGTAGTACGGACAGGTAGCTTGGTTTTTGGGGTTTGCATTATAAATATGCAGCACTAGCTGCTGATTTTCGTTTAAATATTCATTGTAGTATCAGCAAAAGTAATAAAATACAGCAGACTTTTTCTTGCTCTTGCATAGCTATTTGGATTGTTGCCCTTTCTCCTAACCATGCAGTGTTCCAGAGCAACGAGGCTCTGAATGAATGAGCCAAATTGATAAGGATTTAGGTGACCATTACATTTTGATCTGGATTTCCCCTAACGACAGTTTACAAAGGATTCGGGAGGATAATGAATCTCCCTTCAATATTTGGGTAGCAATCATCAATCGATAGTTTGCACCGTTCTCTCGACAGGTATCGAATTCCTAATTACGTTGTGAAGGCAGCCCAATCAACCATAGCATTCTCGTAATTCATCTCAATCTAGTTGTCTTGAACTGTTTAGTATCAACATACAGCGGCATACATTTGATTCACATAAGAGTAATCCACAATCTAAATCGTTCAAATATTAATACAAAATATCAGAGCCTTCTTTTGAAAACCAAACTTAAGTTGGACAAACCTTAATATGAAGCTCTTGTAACAAAGTGAACCACACTACCAATTAAAGAAATTAGGGGTCTGGCCACCAAATTGTACACCAAACAAACAACGGCCCTCAAGGCCTGGACTGCAGCACCAACCAGACGAACTACCTGGAAAAATTACAGAACTCGCATCGATAGATTCATCGGAACTCAAAATGTCATTCGTCACCCACATCAACATCCAAATCACCAACAAGCAACATTGTGTGAACTTTTTTGGGCGACTGACAACCAGCTAAAACTTGAAGGCAGGAGTAACAAAAATTGTTCTGGGGTAACAATCTAATGGTAAAGGAAAATTTCATATTGGATCCCCTGCATCAACCTTGGACTACAAGAGAACAAGACCAAGTTCAGATGGTCTAAGTGCTTGCTGCAAACGGTAGTTATAAAGGTAATAGTGAAGCTGCCCATCACCTGGCCCGAATTTCAGCTCCTTCACAAAAGACTCGTTGAACATGACATCCAAGGCATTGAACACGTCAAAATCCTTCTGCTTGGCTACGGTCAGCGCATCATTCATCAACTGCAGCAATGGAGTCTTGGTGGAGACGTTGTAATATGAATAAGCAGCTTTCAAGGTGGAGTAGTTCTGGTTGCCAAGGATAGAGGATGGTAGGGTGTAAAAGCTGCAAAAGTCGGTGATCTCATGGGTCTCTGGGCTCTCAACCACAAAACTATCAATGACATTCTCGACCGGGCGGAGCCAATGCTCAACATCATCCTCATCAAAATAAGGTGCAACAACAAACTGAGCCAAGTAGTTCCTAAGCAACCGAGTGACAGCTGGCACATCACGGAGCTCCATTTTTCTGAATCCAGGAGTAGCAGGTGAATCTGGCAACTTGTAAAGCTTTATCGTCCTGCTCATTGTCATCCTTGCACCAAGCCTGGAGAAGCCGACATCAATGAGCTTCTTGGGGTTCAAGGACCTGTGCCAATACTGAGCAGTAGTTACTGGTGTAGGAAGAACCACTCCAGCTGTATAAGCTGCTTGCCAAATGTTCTCCAAATGAACCCTCCTAGTAACCTCTTTGATCATGACCGGAGCAAGCCTCTTTGACCTAAGTTTCTTATGAACACACAGGAAGTTGACCTCAGCCATCTTCACCACTTCACCACGCACCCTGATTCTTGCTGGGATACCCGTGATGAAGGCAACAAGCTTTTTGGAAGTTTTAGCACGTACACCAATGTGCCAGCTCTTGTAGTAGCCAGGAGGGCGCAATGCCCAGCTGAGGAACTCCTTGGAGTAATTGAACCGAAACATGTTCTCATCATCCTCAACGTAGTTGTTTTTCAACAGAGCATAGACCTCATTGCAGGTCTCATCAGACTCCATGTCACAGGTAGTCCATTCGTACTGTGCAGGCAGATTGTAAGGCTCTTGTTTGACCTCCGACAAAGGAGTTGCTGGCTCAATAGGTCCCTCAGGCAAATTCGTCGCCCCAACATCCTTGAATTGACCCACGGGTTGGGTTTCCCAAAACTTGTGCTGCTTGCCTACAGACATCGAGTCCTGAAATTTACGAACTATGGTTTCCAGTGAGTTATCCTCCTGAGATTCACCAGGGTTAGGAGTCTCGGAATCATGAGCTGGGTTTTCCTCCTTGGGCGAGGACTGGTCATCGTTGTTATCACCCATTCCAACCGGCTCAGTCTTAGCTTAGAAGCAACAGCTAGTAGTTCTGGAAGCAAGAGTATCTAGAAGTCCTTCTCGGTTCAAGAAAAGTAAACATGCAAGAAAAAGGTCGAAATTAATCGGTGTCTGAAATAGGAAAGCGGAAGTAGAGTATCGAAACAAAAGCAATCCAAGAAAGAATAGAATGAAGGACTGGAGGATGAATGATTTCGAAAGATTGCAAGAACCCAGAACAAAAATCAACTATCTTCAGACAATGGGTTTCAATAAATTTCCAATCAAGGCTCGCAGTTGCAGATTCAAAAATCGGGAAAATGAAATAGCAAATAGATCTGCCCTAGAGATGAAGACGAAGAAGAATAGTAAGTGAACTAACCGGCCGGAAGGAGGGAGCAGGAGGAACGAGTGGCGGTGGATTCCTCGACGGTGCTCGGATAATGGGAAGCGATTAGATCGCGGAAGCTACCATGTCCGTCGACTCGATTCCTTGAGCGAGAGAGAGAGAGAGAGAGTGACGACGGACGGAGAAGTCAGAGGGCGGCTGAGAAACGCCAATTTGTTTCCGAAGCTATTTGCCCCTTTCCGCGTCTCTTCCCTTTTTCACTTCAGGCTTCAGCTCTGTAATACGACACCGTAATAGTACAGCCTGGAAACGAAGACCGGACAGTCCAAAACGTCATGCCCTTTCTCTTGTTCTGCTGAGGGATTTTTAATACGCCAAAAGGGTAACTCTCATTTTGATTTTTGATTAACTTCTTGACAATTTATAATCTATATCTATACCATATAAAAAACAGATTTATGAGTTGAATTTTCTACATTTAAAATTTCAAACAATCAGAGTGAAAGTAAGAAAGATATTTTTGTCTTCACAATTAGTTATTTGTTATATTTTAATGTTAACTGTTGATGTTATTTGTTACATTCAAGTATACACACGTTTGAGTGATGAGGTTAAATATTTTTAATGAATAAAAAGTTTTATGCATCAAAAAAGGATAGCAAGAAGCCACCCTAACTAGCACCAAGAACTACTACATTTTACAACCAAGTGTTCAACAAAACTCCATCCTAGTATACACTAGCAGACCTTACCTGAAGGTGTACAGCATGCAGGGTCTTAGACTTCAAACCCTTCATTTAAGCATAGAAACTAGAAATAGATGAAGAAACATCCCAAAGAGAAGTATAGTTGAGCTGGTAATGTCTTGCCAGCTGGCCCAAAGAGAGGAAGAGTTTGAGAGGATAGCCCAGAGATGTCTAATGAGACAATCAGTATTCCAACTTCTGAGGTCTTTAAATCCCAATTCACCCTCTTATTTTTGACATCGCCACATATTTTCATATCACCTTAGCTTTTTTCCCTTCCTCTTCGGAACTCCACAAGAAATTAGAGCATATCTTTTTAACCATCTTAATCACTTATACAGAGAGTTGTATAATACCCATCCAGCATTGGGAGATACTGGAAATGACAGATAATTAGGGGTCATTTGGATGGATTAATTGTCTTTTTTTTTTTTGAAAGAATGATGGATTAATTGTCAATGTGGTATTTGTATAGTCAAGTAACTCATTAATTGTTCACGTGGTATTTCAGTGTTATTTCAATGGTAACAAATATCATCCTTTCCCAAAAATATCCATCCATACCACCATTTCACAAGGACCACATCTCGCCCATGGCGATTTAAACGAGGACCGTAGGGGGGTGTTGCGGTTTCCGTTCCTATCGCCTCCAGACCACGTGGGTTGTCTGAGGCCAGATTAATCGTGCGACACCTCAACGATCCGGGTCAAACAGTCGCACCCACCCACGGTCTACTCTATAATATTTTTCCGATGAATGTCTAACCTGGGTTGAAACTTCAAACGAACGTAACTTTGTGATCGGTTATCCGTTCGTAGCAAAAAAAAAATATTCCGCATAATTTTTTGAGATTTTGCAAGCCGCAAACTGTCATTGGTCTCACCTTCATCCCAAAAAAACGTCATTTGCTACCTTGAACGAGCAATTTTTCAATTTCGCACTTTGAACAACCATAACTTTGTGCTCCGTATCTCGAACATCATTAAAAAAAATATTCCGCATAATTTTTTAAGGAGTACAAGTGCGGACGGTCAATGAAGCCAAGGGATGTCGAAGTTTTATCCGTACCCTTGAAAACACATCCTCAAGTTGGCAATCCTATCATACGGGTGACAATTTTACTTGTACAAGAGAGGAACTAGCATCATCTCATAGGACTACCTCACCAAGGCTCAACTAGTATCTCTTACAAAACTCAGTTTTTCCAAGGATAGGATGCCTCACACTTTGCTTTTAACCTACACTTTATTTGCAATGACAACGTCTTTTGAATTAGACTTGACGTGGTAGGATTTCGAATGTACGAAACTACATATCTACCTGATTTTATCTTTAAGCGCTGAAGACTCCTTCCTTTGAGTAGGAGTTTGAGAACTCGAAAAGGATGGTAGGAAGCACCAATTTATACATTTTTAAGATAGAATCCAAGTCTCATGACAAGGACTTTCTTCATAGGCCCTACACTATCCTCCATATATCACACATTAAGGCAAAAACTAGCAATTCAAAGTATAATGAATTTCAAATTTGTTTTGGGGTGTGGCATTACTCGAAAATTTTAAAATTGGATGCATAAATGCACACAAAACCCTTTCTCCAATTGCATGACCATTCACAATATGAAGTACAATCAAACTAAATCTTACCACACACTTTAAATGGGACAATGTCGTCATTGGACCAAGTAAGGAGTAGAGAGAAAAGAAGAACGAAGTTACCACTCGTAATGCAAATCAAGTTCGTACAGGCATATGGTTCCTTGTTCAATATTTACCTTTCAAAGAAAAAACAAATG